TTGGGTTTAGATACAATTTTAACCTGTTCCTCCATACCGGTTCCTTCCATAATCAAGTGATGAATTGATCAACTGATATCAATTATCTGCATCCTTCATCAATAATCTAAAAGCAAGAACGTCAACTGTAGACTTTATGTACTAATCTTAATACATTCTGGGCTGCCTCGGCTCCTGTTAAGCTTTACCAATTGATGCTTTTGGCAACAACTGTATTGTTTAAACATTTGCAACGTCAGATTTTTTTGCATTGCGTCCTCCTGATACGATTGGTTGACTGCCATTCACAGAGATATGCCTGAATTAATGACAATCTTTTCGAATTTTCTACCCACCATAAATGTATTTTCACCGACAAAACTTGAAGGTCCCAGGTTTAGGTCTTCCAATGTCCTTTCCAGAAAGGATCACGTGACCCGGAGAACTATGAATAATTAAAGTTTAGACTGCAAAAGTGGTTGACCCTCCAAATCACTTGAATTCCAACCTAGCACATTAATCTGGAGTTGCCCTTTAAATCGGCCCGAAACGTATTCCAGGAAGCAGCGCAAAGAACACCAAATCAGAGACCATCTTCTAACTGAGAAAAATACAAGGGGGGAATTTATCAACACTGGAGCAGACAGAATGTGCCCATAGTAGGCAATCAGCTTCTCTCTTCAGTTAAGCTTTGAAAATGAAAGAGAAGCCGATTGGTTGCCATGGACAACTGCTCCAGTTTTGATCAATTCCCCACCAAATATATTTAAATGATGCAATGGGTTACTTCCTTTTCCTGGCTGAATATGCCTAGAAGATGTAGACTGTGCTTTCCACCATTGAACGGAATATCTTCTAATTATTACTGGAAAAACAAGAGCTGGAGTGTAACTGGTGGCTTCAAATGAAAGCACTTATCCAGTGAACTGATTTTTATTAATGCCCCACAGTACTCGGAATCCTAACACTGGAATGGCTTATGGCACTTCAGTTGTCAGGTTGTTGTTTTTTTCATTACAACCCACAAATAAAATCTTAAAACACAAGTTGCTATTAAATAAACCAGAAATAAGGGGGGTGCCATTGCCAACCTTCTTTAAAACCGTGAGCTGCCCGGGTGTTTTTCTTATCCCCTGGCATCAATACTTCCGAGTAACGTACCCTGAACAAGTATACAGATAGAAAAAAAGACAAGACACCGGGGCCTTATACTCACGCTTGTTTCAGTTCACTGACTCAATTGTTTTTTTTTTAAAAGGGGGGCGGGGGGGTCAGCGTGGCAGCCAGACATTTTCTAAAAAAAGAAGTTAGCAATGGCAGTCTCCATGTTTATCTCAACAGTTTTCCTTCAAAATGTATTTGAATGTTAAGAAAGTTAGATCAAATCAAAGCTAGTTCCAGAGCATTACATGGTGCGGTCTACCATTACAGGCTGGAGAGAGGCCGAGGTACGGCTATCTGGAATGTCCTTCCGGGAAGTCAGCTGCTGTGTCTAGGAATATATCTATCATGGCAATTAGAACATAGTCTCCTAGATGTTCAATTGTGAAACATTCCCCAAAAAATTTAACTTCTACTACTGACAACAGGAATATTAAATATGGCAACTTGTGTTATATTTTGAACAAGTCCTTTAGATGTAGTTTATGGAGTGTGTGCCATCCGAAGGTTAATGTTAAACTAGCTTCCTAAGCTCAGGCCCTTTTCTGCAACTTCAAACACTGGGAGCTTTGATGCTTGGACTTCTCTGTTGGAAATGTAAACTTGCAAGCATAAGGGCTCTTCCTTCCAAAGCGATAATAACATTGTAACGGATGAAGTGCTGTATAGTACAGAGTCAAGCTCTGGCACGCCCCAGCATGCACAGATAAGCTCACATTCGCCTCCAATATTTCCTGTTAAGGCATCATGCACATGGGGGCCTTACATTTAAATTGGGGCGCATTTTCCTGCCCATGAACTCAGAGGTGCAGCATTCAGCAGCCCATAGACATCAAAGATTGCATGGTGGTACTTTCATAAACTCACGCATACGTACCAAGGTATGTCCTGAACGCAAACAGTCTGTTTGGTTATATGTTTTGACACATGTGCGAGTTCACAAAAGGACCAGCGTATACCCACTGTACAGCCACTGATGTCTATGGGCGGCTGTACGCTGCGCCTGTGGCTTCCCAGGCGCGGAAAGGCACCCGGGCTGTACATATACGCCCATGTGCATGAGGCTTAAAATGGACAGAGAAAGGTATTGTTTTCTCTTTGTATATGATTGCTTTGCACCAATAAGAAGTGTACAGTTCCCCTGAGCAACTCTGGTCCTTTCACGGGTGGAACGGCATTACTGAGGAGCTCAAGTAACCTCCTTGGTTTGCTCTCGATCCAACTATTGCTGTACACATCCAATAGTACCTCACATAGCACTTCAACACAATTCTATATTGTTTAAGCAAATCAAAGTGAATTTCAGTTCTGATCCGAGTTATGTGCACTTGGCAACCATTCAGCATTGAAGTGGTTAATCCGGGCTTAACAAGCAGCTTCTTATGATGTACTTATATTCTGGTGTGAAGGAGCCCTTAATCTTGCTTGTTATGTATCATTTGTTTAAAGTGCACCTGTCATGTATATACTTTAGAGCCAGTCATGGAGAGGGCTATACCAACATTTAGATCTTTGATTATATAAGCACTTTCATACCCCCACCGTGCAGTATACAGCAGTCACCCTAGTCTCTTACCCATCAGTGTGACTCCTTATCCTCCTTGTAACTGATGACTACAGAGATATAATACAAATAATGTAGTACATGTATGTCTTACCAAAGCAGCAATGCAAAGGAGGAGACCGTGTGCTAGGATGGTAAGGGTATGCAAGTTTTACCATCATTTGCTGCAATTAGGGATGCACCGATACCGATACTAGGATCTGTATCGGTGCCCAGTATTTGGGCAAGTCGGCCAAATGCTCCGATGCCTAGCCCGAGACATGTGCGGTATCAGGAAGTGGGCAGCGCGTCGTTACACGCTGCCCGGCTTCCTGATTGGCCAGAAAAGCCGGCTCCATGCTTTCTCGTCACCTAGTGACGAGAAGTTTCGGGGCGGCTTCCCTGCTTATCGGGAACCCGGGTGGCGAGTCATTACACGCCGCCTGGCTTCCTGAATGGGACTTCCGGTACTCGGTATCGTGGAGTAATGTAAAACAAATATCGGTACTCGTAACCAAAATACTGGTATTGGTGCATCCCTACTTGCAATTCATTCGGATTTCATCAGCTTTTTTTTTTTTGTAAATGCTTTTTTATGATTACAAAATGTAAAAAAAGACTCAGAGCATGTTAAAATAAATTAAAAGCATATTAAAATGGTAAATGCTCTTCTACGGACTTACAAAGTAAGAAAAAAAAGCTGGACCAAACTGCCGCATGCTTTAGTGTTAAAGCGACAGTGTCTGTCTTTAGTTTTAAAGCAAGTAGGAGCTGGGGGCAGATGTAGGTGAGGTGGTAACTTTCATTGCCCTTTGTACCCAGAGTGTTGGGTCGTTCTAAACTGGAAAAGCTTCAACATTTGCGGGTAGTGTCCGACTTTGCCTATTCCCACCACCCCACATTCCTCTGTGCCCCTCACTATGACTGGCTGCCTCAGGGGCAATACGTGCAGTGATGGTTTATATGGAAAAACAAAGACAATGTTGGTTTCCTTTTATAAGAAAAGCTCAATTACGGGCCAAAGAGGCAGAGGAGCAAGGTAGCGATTATCAAAGTATTTTGGTGCACAACTGATTTCCCTTTAGGCCTCCTTGCTCCGCTCTCTTGGTCTAGCCCAGTAGATGGCTGTACTTGTAGTACATATGAACAGGTGAACTTTAAGCAAAAAAACATCATAAAATGAAATGTTACATCAACAGTGCTGCTATGCTTTCAGGGATAGATCTAACATGTACACTTCCAGAGGAGAGTTATCACTGCTACCCTATTAAAAATATATATTAATTAAAATAAATAAAATATTCTCTCCCTGATAAGCAACACAAATGGGGGGGAAAAAGGGAATAAAAAAAAAAAATACATCATAGTCTAGTGTTGCAAAATGTGCAACATCAAAAGGGGGGGGGGGGGGGGAAAAACAA